AGAAGGAACAAGGCCCTGCTGACACCTTGATCTTGGACTCTCCAGCCTCCCGAAATGTGAGACAATAACTTCCTATTGTTTAAGCCAATCAGATCGTGGCTCTTGTTGCAGCAGCCCCCAGGAAACGAATACAGGATTCCAAATGATTTTAGTTGCTACCTGATTTAACTTTTAAAATATTAACAGTCATATATTTGTATTAAAGAACATTAGAAAAAACAGAACAAGTGACTCAAGCCTGTAGTTTTTAGGTATGTCACTGCTTAGGACTAGGCTGATGTGGGTTTGTCGCAAGCAAATAGCAGTTTAGTTGACACATGAGGGGCCATGCAGTGGAGTGATTAAGAACAGATACCCTGTGGCCAGGTTTTTGAACACTTGGCTTTACCGCTTACCAGCTGTATGACCTTGGACAGATTCCTTAACCTCTCTGTGCCTTGGTTTCCTCTTTATAATGGTGTTGATAATAGCAGTACCTACTACACAGGGTTGTCTGGAAGATTAAAGGCAAGATTACAAGTGTGGTACAAAACACAGCATGGGAGCTCATTCAGGGCTTGGTTAGTGCTGGCTCTTCATTTTATTACCCAGATATGGAAATATCTAGCCACTGTGGCCGGCACATGAAAGAGGCAGGTCCCAATGACCCCAGAAGGGCAACTTCAAAGGATGCTTGACCATCATGCTGCTCCTGCTGTACCAGAGGCTCTGGAAGGTTCCTGCACAGTGGCACACTACTGTGTTTCATGTCTTTTAACAACTTGTTTTGGAAGAATTGTCTGAAAAGCCATTTTTAATTTGTCACATAGGGCGAACACCAGCAGTGCAGACTGGAGTGGGCCCCACACAGGCCTCTTTCTAGGCTCTGGCTGTTGCCCAAAAGCCTCCAGGAATCAGTTTGGTCCTAACTCTGCCCACTGGATTCTGACTTTTCGTGGCAGTGGGATGCGGACAGTTCCCCTGATTGCAGGCTCTGTTTGGCTGCAGTGCCGGGGTCATTCCCTGCTAAGGCAGGACGTAAGTCAGAGGCCTCTGCCCTCCTGCAGGGGACTTAGCACTGTGTGGCTTGTCCAGATACAGATCCCGGCTCTGGGATCTCTGCTGCTCTCCCCTCACTCCCTAGGCTCCAGCCTTCTTCCCAATTCTTGAGCCAACTGAGAAGCTCTTTCCTACCTCAGGAACTTTGCACAGGCTTTCTCCTCTACTGAGGGTTCGTCCTTCACATCCAGGTCTCAGCTCATCTCCCTTCCTCGGAAAGTCCTCCTCTAACCACTCTGCCCTGCCACCACTCAGTTGTCACCACCCCATCTTCGTGTCTGTTATCTATTTCTGCCCATGAAAATAAACACCATGAGAGCAGGAACAATGGTTCAGCTCGGGCCTGGACTGGAGCAGGCACATAGTAGGTGCTCAGTACACAGCGCACCTCCCCAGGATGCTCACTGCTGGCCCCCTGACGGCTGCCTCGATTTTCTGGACAGAAAAGCCAACAGCTGTAACACTGTCTGAGTCACAGTCAAGCTTGCCAGGACCTACACCCAGGTGCCTACAAAGCCACCTCTGTGGCCAGCCAGCCCCAGAAAAGCAACCTGGCAGAGCACAGGCCTGAGAGCCTGGGAGTGAACCCTGGCTTTGCTGCCCTGTCTGTTACTTTCAGCAAGTAACTTCCATGTTCTCAGCCTCGGTCTCCTCATCTGTGAAATGGGAGATGGGGGTAACAGCATCCATAAGGGAATTCCTCAAGTGTGCTGCCTGGCAGCCACTCTCTCTGCCTCTGGTGATAGCATCAGTGTCTCCTTCCCAGAACCACCCCTGACCTAGGCCAGGTAATGGGGAGCAGCTCCAAGACTTTGCTGGCAGTTGTGGGACCAGTTCCAGCTGATCCTGACCAAGAATTTGCTCTGAGCTGGGTGCTCCTCTAAGCAGCCTATCCATCCAGCCCTTTAATCCTTACAGAGACCCCTGGAGGTGAATATTATTCCTATCCCTATTTGGCAGACGGGAGGATAGGCTCAGATAGGTTAAGTAACCTGCCCAAGGTCACGGAGCTAGAGGGTGGAAGGGCAGAATTTGTACCAGGCAGTCAGACTGTAGTCCACCATGCTTCCTGCCAGAGTTGTTAGGCAGGTGGGCTGGCAGCCCAGAGCTGCTGCTGGCTGTCTCAGCAGCCCTAAGAGCTTATCTGAGAATGAAGGGCACAAAGGAGAAAGCGGAGCCAAGAGGTGGAGAGAGGCAGACTGCTGATAGACTTTAATCACTGGGATCCGGCTGTGCCCAAAGATCACACCACTTTCGAACTTTCAGTTACATGGGTTGATGGAGACACTCTCCCTTCAATCCACTCTCTTTATCACTTGCTGTCTAAAATGCCTTGTCTTGTAAACAACTAACAAAATTCATCAAATTGTACATCTGAAATATGTGTAGTTTACTGTACAGGAACCAAACCACAATAAAGGTGTTAGAAAAATTTAAAAAAAATAAAAAAATAAAATGCCTTGTGTTGTATTAGTACAGTCTTTTCTCCCTGTCGGGTTTGGGGTTTGATAAGGGTTAATCAGAGAACGCCTGCGCGCTACTGCCCACAGTCCCCAGCCAGACCTGCACCTGCAGGTCTGCATCAGGGCTCCACTGGTACCCAGAGCCAGAGTGCTAGAGGGTCAACACCCCAGGAACAGTCGGCAACCCGTGACCACAGAGGGTGGGTCCCTCATTCACCCTGGGGCGGGAAGCAGTGGTCAAATGCCAGGGTTCTGCTCAGCACTGCCCCCTGAGCTCTCCAGCCAGGTAACTCACCGCTTGCCCAGTGAACTTGCTTGGTGATAAAGCCAGTTTTAGCACCTTCCTTTCCTGTCCCCTCCCAGGGACCACCTCCCAACTAAATTACTTGTTCTTGCATCCTTATTTCAGAGTCAGGTTCTGAGGAATCCAAACAAAGACAATATTTACATAGCAGGGAGCAAATGCGCAGGAAGTGGAAGCGGTTGTTGTCACTTCCTCCTCCTCCTCCCATCTGCCCTGAGCTGCTGGGAAGAGAGCTGTAAGCCTCAGGCCTCATGCTTGGAGTTCGTTGGTCCAGGTCTGAGAACAGTGACTGTTTGGAGGAGGCATTGGTTCCCACCATCAGGTCCCCTGGCCTGGCCCTGTGGGAAACAGTCCCTCCAGCTTGTCCGTCAACATGGGTGGAACATCATGGTCACCAAGGTCAGGACCCCTGACCTCTTGTGTAAGAAGGCTGGCTGGCTGGGGCTGGATTTTACCCCGGGGAATCTCAGGGTTTCAAATTCTTGGGATGCCAGAATACCTTGAGCTCTTTGAGGTCCTTTGGGCCACAGTAATCAGAAGCAAGCTGCCCCCAGAGGGTCACTCCAGCCACTGGTTTGGATCCAAGGCATCAGGCTGAGACAATTCATCTGCTGCCTCCATGTGTGCAGTCTGCTGGTTAAGGACACAGTAGTGGAGTTGCTCCACCAGTGTTTGAGGCCTAGATCTGCTGCTTTCCAGCTGTGTGAGTCACTTGCTCTGTGCCTCAGTGCCTCATCTGAGAAGTGGGCACAAGCCAGACCCCATCTCAAAGGCTGATGATAAGGATTATAATTTACTTGCATATATAAATTACATATATAACTTACTTATATATAGATAAGTAAATTTCATATAGAATTAGCATGTATGTAAACTATGTAATACACATAAGTAAATTATAATAAAAGCTTACAATAGAATTAGCATGTATGTAAACTATGTAATACACATAAGTAAATTATAATAAAAGCTTACAATGGTGCTTACCGTGCTGGTTCACGGTAAGTACTCAATCAATGGACCCTCTCATTTCATTAGTAGAGTGGCAGACTGACCTTTCACCATAAACTCTCGTAACTTTAATTTGTTAATTAAAACTTTTTTTTAATCTTTTAATTGAAATATAGTCGATTTACAATGTTGTGTTAGTTTCTGGTAGTGTTAGTTTCATAGTGATTCAGTATTCCTTTTCATATTCTTTTTCATTATAGGTTGTACAAGATATTGAATATAGTTCCCTGTGCTATACAGTAGGACCTTGTTGTTTATCTATTTTATATATAGTACTTAGTATCTGCAAATCCTGAATTCCTGATTTATCCCTCCACACCCCCCAACTTTGGTAACCGTAAGTTTGTTTTCTATGTCTATGGGTCTGTCTCTGTTCTATAAATAAGTTCATTTGTGTCATTTTTTTTAGATTCCATATATAAGTGATATCATATGATTGTACCTTTAGAATTTAGTACCACTTGCATGTATTATTACCCATATAAAGTAAGCAAGTTAATTTAAAAGTTGAAACAAAATAAATTTTCAATTATTACCACATCTTGTTATAGAAACAGGAAGTCCTGTGATTTTATGTGTCCACTTGACTGGGCCATGGGGAGCCCAGATACTTGGTCAGACATTATTCTAGGTGTTTCCGAGAAAGTGTTTTTGGATGAGAGTAACTTTTTAATTGATAGAAGAAATCAGATTTGCCCTCCATAGTATAGGTGGGCCCCACTTAATCAGTCGAAGGCCTGCATGAAACAGAAAGACTGATCCTCCCCTGGGTAAGAGAGAATCCTCCAGCGGACTAACTCCGGACTTCACCTGCAACATTGGCCCTTCGAATTGGAACACTGACTTTCCCTCAGTCCCTGAACTGCTGACCTATCCTGCAGATTGGACTTCCCAGTTTCCATAACTGCATGAGCCAATTCCTGATAATAAATATATTCTCTCTACATATACACACACACACATACACATGCACACATCCTATTAATAATGGACTTTATATACATATATATGTATATAGACCTATTGGTTCTGTTTCTCTGGAGACCTCTAATAATACATTTGCCAAAGGTCAGCTCAGGTCCTGGAGAGGAGGGTAACAACGCAAGGACTCTTCCATCACGGCACCCCACTGAGAGTCATCCCAGCCCAGCCCCAGCCCCGCTCAGGGGCCCCAGAACTCTTACTTGAGCATGCCCTCTCCTGGTCTGGGAACACGGTTGGGGGCTGGGGATTCAGATTTGGCTCAGGTTTGCTGGGAATGAAGACCTCAGCATTGTCCTTCCGCTTAGCAGACAAATTCCTTTCCTTTTTCTTACCTGTTAAAAAAGAAACCCAACTGTTTATATGTGAAACACTGAGTGCAAGCAGAGCTAGGACACTCTGCTCCAGCAACTGTTAATTTGTGCGTCCACTTCTGCATTCAACAAATATTTACTGAGCCCCTGCTCTGTGCCAGGCCCCATGCTAGTTTGGGATTAGAGGTGTAAATAATGCTGACAACAAAACAAGTTTGCTGAGAGCCATGATGAGCCAAGCACCATATTTTGGTAAATAAATGAATTATTCTAGGACACACACAGGTTCTCAAATTTGAACATTTCTGAAGAGGGACAAGTCTTATCATCGATAGGGTGTTGGACTTCATTGGCAGCATGGTACATAAAATAACGGTGCAACAAAGGATATTCTGGAGTTGGAAAAGCATAGTAGAACATATTTGCTGCCCTTGAGGGACTCAGCCTAGCCAAGGATAAGGAATGGTTGAATGGATACGAGAGCGGGGCTGGAACAGAAGGTTTCTGGTAACAGGATCAGAAGGAGGATACAGTTTGGAGGATGGGGCTGACAGGGGTGCAGCCAACAGTGAAGAAAGCCCTTCCAGATGACTGGGATGTTGCTGAGGGGTATTGCAGACAAAGGGAACAGTGTGTGTGTAGGCTTGAGGGATGCAATGAATATGGCAGGTGAGTGGCTAAGGTCTGGATGGCGGTAAGTTAAGCCAGACAGTGAAGGGACCCCAGGCCAGGATTTATAGTCAATGTTTCCCAAAGAAGGGTGCCTGGACCACTGGTGGGACAGGAGATGATCCCAGGTGCTACAGGGGCAGATGCGTTTTAAGCAACTGTCTAACTTAATGTGTACAGAAAAAAAAAGCAACTAGCATATCAAACCTTAGTTTCACGAATATTACTGCTTGGAACAATCTGAGAATTAGGAATGAAAAGAAAGAAGGAGGAAGGAAGGAAGGGGAAGGAGGGAGGTGGCACTGGGGTAGGTCCTGGGCACACACCATCTCATGTATTTCCCCAGCCAGCCTCGTGGGTGGAGGGTAGGCAGAATACTGGACCTCAAAAACAGCCACATTCTAATTCCCAGAACCTGTGACTGTGTTAAGCTACAAGACCAAGGGGAATTAGCTGTGCTAATCAGCTGACCTTAAACTAGGAAAATGATCTTGGACCCACTGTAATCATGAGGGTCCTTAAAAGTGGAAGAGGAACAGTTTGAGTTCGGGATGATGAAAACCTTTTGGACATAGACAGTGGTGATGGTTATCCAGCAGTGTGAGTGTACTTAATGACACCAGATTGTCTCTTAAAAATGGTGAAAACGGTAAATTCTATGTTATGTTTATTTTACCTCAATAAAATACAAACACACACAGGGAAAAGAGGAGGGTCAAAGGGAGGTGGGACTACAGAAGAAAGACACAGAGAGATGCAATGTTGCTGGCTTTGAAGATGGAGGAAGGGGGCCAGGACCCAAGGAATGCAGCAGCCTCTAGCAGGTGGAAAAGGCCAGGAAGCAGATTTTCCCCCAAAGCCTCGGTAAGGAACACAGCCTTGCTGACAGAGTGATTTTAGCCCAGTGAGGCTCACGTCAAACTTCTGACCCATGACTCAGCCCTCCCCTTTCCACTGGAAAAATAACTCCTGTCTTTCTCTGTGCCACTCATTCATTGCCCCTTACTCACAAGAAGGACAAAGGTGGGGGTAGGAGGCCATCAGGGCTCATCTCAGCCCCTCCTCCTTTCCTCTTCCAGGGGGAGCTGATCTCAGGTCACACGGCCTCCCTTCCACCATGCCGAGGCCATCAGCAGTCCAGCTCTGCCTGCTTCTAGGGGACAGGTTCTGTCTACTGTAGAGGGGCAGTACTGACCAGCCACCAATCCAGCTCTTCCCAGTGGGAAAGGTGATCATTTGCTCACTTTCTCTCAGAGTCCCACAGCCACCTCTCATTGTTTCACAGCTTCGAAGGGGAAACAGAGAGGAGTGGGATGACTCATAGGCTCCTCAAAGCCCAGCGATCGCTTTGTAACTTCATCTGGTTCATTTATTTAATTGAATGATTAAGATCTCAGGATCTGGGCTCAGACTGCTTGGAGATTCAATCCCATTCTGCCCCCTTCTAGCTGTGTGACCTTGGGCAGGTTCTTTGACCTCTCTGTGCTTCAGATTCCCCATCAGTAAAACAAGTACAATGACTAGGACTTCCCTTGGGGGTGTGGTGAGGATTAAATGAGGGACTTCCTGTAAAGCCCAGGGAATAGAGCTTGACACAGGTTACTAGGAACTCAATCAGTGACGACAACTGTTATTTTTTATGGGTTTATGTGCTTATTGTCTGTTTTCCCTGCTACGATTAAGTGAAGGAGGAGAACGATTGGGCCCATCTTGTCCCAGCACAGTGCCTGGGGCAGGATCCGTGCCCAGTGAGTGAATGAAGGAACAGCCCAGAACCAAGCACACCTTTTCCGGTTAGGGCTACCTGTTCCTGAGTAAATGCTCAGGATTAGTTCAGAACTTCAGTCCCATGCTGGGGTCTGGGAAGACCTTATAACAGGCCCCTCGGCCTCCCGCCTGCTCCTCTTGGCGGGAGCCTGTGTCCTGCTGTGGCTAAGAAGCCAGCCCGAGGCTGCGGATGAAAGGGGCAGCTGAGCGTGGCAGTAGGAAGCAGGCATGCCGCCCCCCACGGATCACATACTGGGCCGCCCCCGCCCACCCATGGCAGACATCACTGCGATCAAGGCAAGGCCTGCCAAACAATCTAATCATTAAAAACTGTAAAATGGCAAGAGAGAGGAGTTCTCCCTTTTCACTTTATGCCCTGGGATCTCTCAAACTGTGCCTGGGGACCGGGGCCTGGTTCTTCACACCCAGAAATGACTGTCTTGTCTCTGGCATGTGCCTGTCTTGTTCCTGGCAGAGCTCGTAGGCCGGAGCAGGAGAAAGGCAACTGGAGAGTGAGACGAGTGCCATGATGATGCTATGGGGCAGAGGAGGCACCAACCTAGCTGGCTGGGCTGGCAGTGCCAAGGAGGCTTCCTGGAGGAAGCAGTCTCCGAGCTGAGCCTTGAGGGAAAAGCACAGAGCCAGGTTTTGTGGGTCAGAGTGGAGGGGAGAGGCGAAGTGGTGATCGAGGTGGAGGGAAGAGCCCGAGCAAGGAGGTGAGAGAACACGGGGAGAGCACGGCTGAGGGACGGGACACTCTCTTCCCTGGAGCCGCCAACCGCCGGGTGTAGACTTTCCAGAGCTGCCTGTTATTACTGTCCCCCCAAGACTCACGTGTTCAAGTCCTAACCTCCAGTACCTCAGAATGTGGCTTCATTTGGAGATGGGGTCTCTAGAGAGGCAGTGAAGGTAAGACGAGGCCTTGAGAGTGGGCGCGAATCCCATCTGACTGGTGTCTTATAGGAAGAGGCGGTCAGGACACAGACCCACACAGAGGGAAGACCGTGTGAAGACACCGGGAGAAGATGGCCGTGTACAAGCCCAGGAGAGAGGCCTCAGGAGACACCAGCCCTGCCCACACCCTGACCTTGGACTTCCAGCCTCCAGAATTGTCAGAAAATACCTTTCCATTGCTGATTCAGCAGCCCCTGTCTGTGTATTTGGTCATGGCAGCCCTGGTGGATGAAAATACTGCTTGATCTCAAACCTTCCCTCACTTCTCTTTCCTTCTGTTCATTCATGCTCCCCCCCTGGTTGGGCTTGGGGTTTGGTTCAGGAAATACAGCACACTCAGCTCTGGGGAGAATGAGCTCCTAAGGGAGAGGGAGGAGGAGGCAGAGGCCATGCCAGCTCGGGATAGGGGACGAGGACTCTGTCCAGTAGGCTCTCCCTGCTACCCACCAACTGTCTTGTTGAGTCTAACTTTCAGGGTCTTTTATGAAAAGCCTCTTCTAGTGGATAGCCATTGTGGTGGCCAGCTGCTTCCCTTCTTCAGATTTAGCTTGATTTTCCTTTGGAAGCTATTATTCGTCCATGTGGTTTGGGTGGTGATAAACACTCCAGTAGTCCTGTTGGCTGGACCTGGCCTATCAGAGCCACAGGGACTAGGTCAGAGACATGACCCCAATGTGAGTTCCAGAGCCAGGCCTGGGACATTTGCTGGAGCTTTTAGGAAGGGAAATCCACTTTCTGATGGAGTTGCAAAGCCAATGTCTCAATTCTGTGTCTATGTGAGGAAAGCACGTGTGAGAATGATACCAAGACAAAAAAAGGCAGAGACAAGAGGGAGGAAAGAGAGAAGGGAAGGGGAGGGAGGGAGTGGGGAGAGAAATGAGTCCTGCTGCAGCCCGGGACACCTCAGTTAGCAAGTCAAGAAATAGTCTCTTTTGCTTAAGTCAGTTTCATGAGCCAGCTGGCGTGCGATCATCCTACAACGCCCAGGACAGCCCCCGACAACTACCTGCCAGACATTTACCATCCGGAATTTCAGGGTCATCTGTAAGCCTTTGTGAGCCTTTGCCTCTTGCGATCAGCAGAGACCTGCCTGATGTACTCCCTGGCCTGTGAGACAGCCTTCCCAAAGCTGAATCCACAGTATGGATGGAAATTTAGGTCTTACTATTAGATCCAGAGACATCAAAGGCAAAGAAATGCCACATAAGACAGAGCTTACTTTCGGAAGCCGGGTTAAACTCCAGCACTACGAGGGTGTCTGGGCCCTGGGAAGGGTGTCTTTCTGTCTCCGGGTCTTCGGAAACATCCTTCTGGCCTGGGTCCCCACTGGAAGGAGGGGGGTCATCTCTAGGATGATCCTCGGGCTCTGGCTCAGAGGGTACGTCTTCTTCGATAGAGTCATACTCGTCGCTGGAACAATCCTTTTCTTTCCTTTGTAGATTTACACTAAGTTCCAGGCTTCTTCTTAGCTCCTGCCAAAAGTCAAGAAGAGAAGTGAAACATGAAATATGTTCCTTGTGAGAAAAACTCATTTGAAAATCGATTGTTAGAACTGAAGAACTATTCCCACCAAACTCACATTTACTGAAATCATCCCAACCCATATATGCCATCGCTTTGAAGATGAGGAAACAACGGGCAGGGACAAATGAGCCCTCTGCTCCGGACAGAGCAGTATGTGTAGTATCAATTGTGGTGTTCACATGCCTAGGATGCTGCTAAGCGTGTGTGTGTGTGTGCCTGCGCGCGTGTAACATATGTTTTGATTTGAGGGCTTGTTAAAACAGACTGTGGGGTCCCGCCCCCTGAGTTTCTGATTCAGTGGGTCCTGGATGGGACCTGAGAATCTGCCTTTCCAACAAGGTGATGCTGATGCTACTGGTCCAGGGACCACACACTTTGAGGCCTCCAAATGATCCTGATATTCCAGATGGTGAAATGTTTGGCAGATACTTGTGGGTATTGAAGGATGCTTGGAAGCACTGAAGTGTCATAGCATTTAGGACTTAACTATAGCCATTTGATAATGTTTTGTACATGTTTCATCTCCATGAGATTGTAGATTTATAATCTTAAAGCGTTCAGCTCTACACTTACAGTGATCAGAAAATGTATCACCAAAGCCAGGATGCTTAAGAAAGGGACTAAGGGCACCACTCCATTTACACTGCAACAGAAAGTGTAAACTGGACTTTCTGGGAAAACCAGTCTGTCCGCTCAGCCTACCCATACTGTCCCCATAGGCCTTGTGGTATCTAACATAGTTGTGAGAAAATAAGAAACAATCAAGTTTATGGTTGACCATAAACTTAACAATTGTTGTGGCGGGCTGAATAATGACTCCCCAAAGATGTCCAAGTCCTTACCCGGGACCCAGTGAATTAGTGGGGGCTCGTGAAGAAGTGAGAAGCGCCATATAAAAAACTTTGATCATCTTAGAGAATTCATCCCCAAAAGACCAATGACAGAAATATGGACGTTAAAGGTGCTGCTGGTGAGGGCTCAGGAAACAAGGAACATGTCACTGGAAACTAGAGGGGGGAAAGATCCTGTTATGTAGTTGCAGAATCATAGCTAAACTATGTCCTGTAGTTATGTGATATATGGAACTTGTAAATGATGGACTTGGATATTTAGCTGAAGAGATTTCCAAGCAAAGTGTTAAAGATAACAGTCTGGTTCCTTCTTGCTGCTTAGAGTAAAGTGCTAGAGGAAAAGGACAGACTGTTAAGCAAAAAGGAACTGGGACTTGATGATTTGGGAAACTCTCAGCCTATCCAGGTTGCAAAAGATGCTAAAATTGGGAGAAGCACTGTCAGAAAAGCATGCTCTAGAGGAAAAACCAAGGGTGCAGCTGGACAATTTTTTGCTAACACCTCAGAAGGAGCCACAGTTTAGAGTACTCAATCACACTGAGAAGCTTAGACATGAATCCCTCTTAGACATCTCAGTAGAAGCCAGGAGTAGAGACGGGATTATCCAGGAAGGATTTGCGGAGGAGCCTCTTGTGTCATGGCATGAATCTTAGACATATACATGGGAGACTCATGTCGTTTTTTAAAATGTCACACCAGCAGAAAAACTGCCAGCTAGGACTGCATGGGAGAGGGAAAGGACAAAGTAAAAGGAAGCTGTCAGACTCCCAAAATTCTACAGGCAGGAAACAGGTCGATAAAACTACATAGCAGCAAACACATTCTGCCCTTCATGAAAGAGGAAGAATGACTCCCAAGGTGGAGCCATGGGCCCAGAGGGTGGAATCCTGAGCTACAGAGAATTATTCCCACTCCCTAAAACTTAATGGAGTTTGCCCAGTTGGATTTCAAAATTTCTTGGGTTTGGTGACACCTTTTTTTCCTTTAATCTTCTCCCTTTTGTAACAGAGAAACCCTTTTATCCTGTGCCTGACCCACCATCGCACTTGGGAGCAGACTTGTTTTCTAGTTTTACAAGTTCACAGATGGAGAAAAGCTTTGCCCTAAGATAAATAATGCCCATAGTCTCTTCCTTATCTAATTTAGATGTAGGTGATGAGATTTGGGAGTTTTGAGCAGATGAGACTTGGATGATATTTTAGACTTAAGTTGGTACTATAATGGGTTGAGAATTTGGGGAACCTTGAGATGGGATGGATGTATTTTGCATGAGGGATGGACCTGAATCTTTGGAGGCCAGAGGGCAGAGTGTTGTAGGCCCCAAAGATGTCCAAGTTGTAAACCCTTGGACGGTGAATGCTACCTTACATGGCAAAGGGACTTTGCACATATAACTAAGTTAAGGATCTTGAGATGGAGAAGATTATCTTGGATATCTAGGTGGGCCTCATGTAATCACAAGGGTCCTTCTAAGGGGGAGCCAGGAAGATCAGTCAGAAAGAAGACATAAGGATGAGAGTAGAGGTTAGGAAGCAGAGAGGATGCTACACTGCTGGCCTTGAAGGAGGAGGAAAGGGTACAAGCCAAGGAATGTAGGTGGCCTCTAGAAGATGGAAAAGGCAAGGAAATAGATCTTCCTCTAGAGCCTCCAGAAGGAACATAGGGCTGCTGACATCTTGATTTTAGAGCAGTGAAGCGGAAGTTGGATTTCTGACCTCCAGAACTGTAAGATAAGCCACTAAGCTTGTGGTCAGTTGCTAGAGCAGCAGTAGGATACTAATACAGCCATCCGTCTCTTACAGCTTTCTCCTTCCCACCCTGCCCAGTATCAAGTACCAGTGATATCTGTTGAGCAAATAGAACACTGCCTGGCATACAGTAGATGCTTGACAAGTATTTGCTGAGTGACTAATTTACACCAGTGGCTGGGGAGAAGCTGTAAGCAGGGCTGGAGAGGACCCACCTGCCTTAGAGGCAGCATTAGCAATGTGACTCTTAGCAAGTTACTTAACTTCTCTGATCTACATTTTGACATTCATAAAAATGGGATAACAAATCCCAGCCTCACTGAATTGTTTTATTAAAGCAGTGGTGCAAACTGGGAACGATTTTTGCTCCCCCTCTGGGGATATTTGGCAATTACTGGAGATATTTTTGGTCACAACTGGGGGAAGGTAGGGCTGGTGGCAACTGGTACGTAAAGGGCAGGGATAAGGCTAAACATCCTAGAATGTTCTGGACAGTTCCCACAACAAAGAATTATCTGATTAAATGTCAAGAGTGGTGTGACTGAAAAACCCTATATTAAAGAGAGCACATATTCCCCAATGGCATTTAAAAAGATAACAAAGTCTTCTCATTGAGTGCATTACCATGATCCATGTAACCTCCATGGAAGCCAGACTGAGGTCATGGCTCATGTCTTCAAAGTCTGACCGTGGTGGGCAGCTGGAGGGCGAACAGATTTACTGCTCCTCCACAGAGAAACGCGAGTTCCTGGGTGGCCTGCTGTTTAGCAGCAATTTCGGTGATTGTAAAGCTAGTAATCCTTTGCAGTGAAATAATGCTCTATACTTTACAGAACATGTTTAACTCCTTCTCTCATTTGATGCTCTAATGATAACATGAACTCCTGTGAAAACAGGACAAGCAACTGGCTCCCGTTCTAGACCCAGCCCCCATCTCAAATGGGGTCATCTTCAGTTCTGTGTTCTACAGGGGTGGAGGCCAGGCTCAGCCAGAAAACAGGGGGCAGATCCCTGCTGCTGCATCCCCTGTATTCTTGCCCGGTCACTGTGGATCAAAAATGATAAAAAATGGGTACCAGCGGACTGGGAGATGCCCAGCTAGGAGACTGCCATGACTGTCCAGGAGTCCTGGTCAGTCCCGGGGCCCGGAATCATCCCTCCTGGTGTCTGAGGCAGAGTGGAGCCATCACTCATCACTGGTTCCAGGAAGGATTTGGATGAGGCATTAGGATGCTAAGAACCCTTCACAATGTTGCAACCCCATCTTTTAAGTGACTGAATTTTGGGAGTCCCCTCCAGGTTGGAGAACTGAGGCCTAAAGCCTTTAAGCTGGTTCAATTTGTCACAATGATTAAGTGGCAGAGTCGTGACTTGCTCGTGCCCTGAGCCATTGCAACCCTGCTCCTTCGAGATTACCCAAGAGTAGAAGAGCCTCACTTACATTCTGCAGTGGTCCAGCCAATGGGGAAGATGATGGGGGAACCACCGTCACTCGTCCGTTCACACATGCTCTGTGCTCAGAGCTGAGGTAATGGTGGGGAGAAAGATGGCCAAGCCTCGGGCCATCAAAGCATAAAGAAAAAGAAACGGGGGCATTTCGGATGTGGTCGGGACTGGGGAGGAGAGTCTGCCTGGGTGATTGGACAAAGAGTGAGGGAGGCTCTGTTAGGAGTTGGTCAGGGAAGGCTGGCTGATGAAAAAACGGCCAGTGTCTGGGGTGCTAGTCTGTCAGGTGGAACAGCAGAGGCGAAGGCAGGGAGGTGGCAATGGCCGGAGGGCGGCGTGCACCAAAGGAGGGGAGGGCAGGGAGCCGGACAGGGTCACGCGGGCCATGGGAGGGGTCACACAGCCAATGCCTTGTAGGTCTCGGAGCAGGGTCTGAATTTTCTTTTATGCCCAATGAGAGGCCACTGAAGGGTGCTAAGCAGAAATACAACGTTATCGGATTTCTCTCCTTAAAGATCACTATGACTCTTGGACACAAAGTGGATTTTCAGAGGCAGGGACATGACAGAAACAGGATGACATTTGCAGCTGCGGTAGCAGGTGAAGATGAAGGTGGCAGCAGAGATGGGGATGCAAGATGCATTTTGAGACATATTTTGGAGGCAGAGATGACAGAAATGGCTGACTAGAAATTAACAACATGTGTACCCTCCAACTCAGCCCTTCTAGGAATTTATCCTTCAGTCTTAAGTCTACAAAGCCCGGTGAGGCATCATTTATTACATGGAATGATCTGCCTGTTCATCAGTCAGGGATGGGTTAAATTATTAATAGCCCGGGAGTCAACGGAGCCTCAGGCAGCGCTTACAGAGAGGGAGGTAAATACCGTGCACTTACTCAGAAAGATAGCAAGATGTATGTTCAAGGAAAAAGAAGCATGTTGAAAAATGTACATAGATTATAAATCTGATTTTAAAGAGAATTATTATATTAGAATGTGTACACATAGGCACACAAAAAATCTGGGAAAATAAACATCAAACTATTAACACTGTTCTCTCTTGGGGTGGCATTATAGGAATGGTTTTCTGCTACTTAATTTTTTATTATAAGCCTGTCTCCAGTTTTATAATTAGAAAAAATTAGGTGTTTACATTTTTTTTAATATTCTTCTTTATTTTTTATTTTGTTGTGGTTTTTTTTTTTAGGTTTTTTTTTTTTTACATTTATGTTTAAATCCTGTTCCTTACTCCTGAAAATAAAACGAATTCCCTACAGGAGTGGTAGGAGCAGTGGTGTGGAGGGCCCTGAACAGCTAGCTGTCTGAAAAGTCACTGATCTCTAGCCCTGGAACACATCTTGTTCCCAGAAGAGTGACTCAGAAATTGGTGATCGGCGGCGCTTGATGCCGGCGGATGATGGGGAGGCATCTAACCCTGGATCCAGTCGAGTGGTCCAGATGTAAAAGTTACAGGCCACCAATCTCAACAGGAAGAACGTCAGGGAGTATCAACACAGCGCCTGTAAGTCCTTCTTGGAAAAATCCTCTAAATGTTGAAATCCAAACAATGAAAAGTAAAATCAAAATAAAGAACACAGACCAGGAGAGGCTGTGATAACAGGTCTAACGGTGGACACTGAAGTCGTTTAGAGACTCAAGAAATACAGGTGACCCTTGAACAACAGGGGGGCTGGGGGCACTGACCTCCCACGCAGTCGAAAATCCATGTGCTGCTCTCTCTGCTTCAAAAACAAAGGAACTGACAAATGGCTCACCCAAGGGCAGGAAGCTGAGACAGGCTGGATAGAAGAGAACACAGACCCCAGTCCTCTTGATCTAACATACTGTGATCTCTAATTCAACACAAACTTTTCCCCAAACTTAGTTAAAGATCTGTAAAATGAAAATACAGGAACTACATTTATTCAAAAAACAAATCCACATTCAAGTGGACCTGAGCAGTTCAAACCCTTATTGTTTAAGGGTCAAGTGTAATGGACAGCTGTGTATAGCCGGGTTATGGACGGAAATGTAATGTTCTAAACCTAAGATCTTAGCTAAGCTCACAAAAACCAGAAGAGGGCAGGCAGTGTGGGTGCACCCCCAGCCTCACTTTCCACAGCAGATTAGTCAATTCACAACCATCTTAAACGGAAACACGGAGTTATTTTTAAAAAATGGCAACTCCGACCTCTTAATATATTTTCATAATTTATTAAACTGATGGGAAATTTCAAGAAATCTCTCTTGTGAAAATGAAATTTGAATGCCAGTAGTTTCTTCTGTTCCAATTTGGTTCTGCTTCTGTCAAATTAATGCAAATTTAAATGCTATCATTTTATTTACAAATATATACATATATACATACACGTATATATATATGAAGCCTAGATTCTGCATAGCTACTATCTTCTTCACAAAGGAAAATAATACACTTGCTCACACAGGGTGAGCAAATTTCAGGAACCTAGGCCCTTACAATGCCTATGTGATCTAAAACCATCTATTCCGGGGCAAAGGGGAGACTAAGTAAGTAGTCACATTCCCTCAAGAAAGCTGCGCAAAGCCTTTCCATCTGGAAAGAAAGACTAACCTTGGGTTAGTCGCTTTGAAAGCCAACCTGCCGAGACTTCAAAGGGACCCCATGCTGGGAGATCTACCAGTTGCTTTGAAGCTGCCATCCAGAAAGTCCTCTGTGAAAACTTATTATGGCTTTGCTTTAAAACCTTGTTATATGCAATTTCGATGCTCAGCCCTGAAAATGTGAAGTTCAAGCCCTTTCAACAGAAAGCCTTCTGCATGGAGGCCAGGCTGCAAAGGTGGAGAGTGGGTGATGGGACTGCATACAAACTGGCCTCCTCTCGAGAGGGCCAGGGAGGAGGTGGAGGGAGGGAGGGGTGGATGCCAGACCAGTGACTAAAACATGGCTGGGGTTTGATGGTCAGTGAATCAGTGCCTTACATGCCTGATCTTCCTCTCTTCTGCAGGG